CTCCAATAGAAAGTCATAACTCAAATTAAATAGGACTTAAAAACTCAAATAAATTCATGTTACTTCTTAAATAGCTGCATAGGCCAGTCTTCACAACATGTAGTATTATGACATATGAGATTTTTCTAAGGAACATATCCTCCAACACCTCTTAAAGTTTTATAAGTGTATGATATTTTGTCTCCCCCTATGTTCTATTTGTGTATTTAAAATGATAATCTGCCAGAATTTCAACATATGACACATTTTTCTTATCATCCAAAAAGCATATTGGGCACCTCAATGTGATCTGCTAGTCTCCAATATCTTATATAGTATGTATGGACCAAATTGATTCATAGTCTTTCCTTGTTCTAACTCAATAACCACAACAGTTTGCAAATTGGAGCTTGATTACAGACCTTCAAGTTAATGGTCAAGCTTCCTACACCTTTAGGAAGAGTCACTTTGTGTTATGCTACAAGCATCCTTTTAGAAATATTGGTTAGACGTGTCCACAAATATTTTCTACAAGTAGCTTCGATGAGTTTAATAACCTTTTATGGTAGTAAAAATAGATGTCTGCTTGGATACCAAACATTATTGCTCTAATTAGTTGAAGCCTCCGACATATGATAATCTTCTAGCCATCCAATTAGTGATATTTGCTGTAATTTTATCTACTTAAGGCTTCCAATGCAAAATTGTCATCCTTTCAGTAGAGAAAGGAACTCCTAAGTATATAAATGGTAAATCATCTATTTTATAGTACAATGGACTCAATATGTAATTCCTTTTATATGTCCCTAACCACTAAAATAGACTTGGTTATTTAAGTACTTCATTTTCATCATTATGAATGACTAACGCCTTGAGCTTTTGTACTATTTTCAGAAACCTTCGAAAATATAAATATAATGTTCGAAATAAGGCACATGTTGAAGGATGCATATGCAATGAGTATATATTTGATGAAGGTTCATCCTTCTGTTCACACTACTTCGAGCCTCATGTTTACACAAGGCATAGAAAAGTGCCACGAAATGATGATGGTGGTATAGGCGAACAAGATAGATATGATGGTAATCTTTCTATATTCACCTATCCAAGTCGAGGATTTGGGGAACTAAATAGGAGATATCTATCCGAAGAAGAACTTAAAGCATCTCATATTTATATTTTACTAAATTGTAGAGAAGTGCAGCCATATGTGGAATAAGATTTCAAGCTTTTGTTTACATTTATACATTATAATTATCAAAATACTTACATATTATTTTTCTTATATGTGATCCAAAGGAAATTTATTGACTCCCTTCATCAAAATTTTCCACGAATTACGGAGCAGGAAGTGGATAAGAAACTTGATGAAGATTTTGCATCATGGTTCACAAGATATGTGAGCACTTGTACAATATCTTTCCATCTGTACTTAGTTCACTTATAAGAAACTCTAATTGTTTTAATTTAATAGGCTCGAGTCCACATAGATAATCAGTTCATCAAGGCGCTTGCAGAGGGTCCATGTCGATCAACGAAACAATACACTGGTTATAATGTCAATGGCTTTAAATTTCACACTAAAGGTCGCAGTTTTTCTAGAGCATCTGATAACAGTGGCGTTTGCATAAAAGGAACCAATTATAGTGCAGACGACAATGACTACTATGGTGTGCTTACCGAAATTCTTGAATTAGAGTACAAGGGCAGTACACCAATCAAAAGAACAGTTTTATTTAAATGTGAATGGTTTGACCCCACACCAAATGTAGGGATGAACATTCATCCGAAATATAAACTTGTGGATATCAACCATAAAAGGAAAGTGAAGAAGTATGAACCATTTGTTTTGGCAATGCAAGCAGCTCAAGTGTATTATGCTTCTTATCCTAGCTTACGACGTGATAAGAATGGTTGGTGGGCTGTGTGCAAAACAAAAGCTCGGGGTATTGTGGTTATGCCTCCGTCATATTTATCGTCTCCTCTTATAGATGTTGCAGAGCCATTTCAATGTGACGAAGATGGTTTAAGATTTGATGTGGTGTACGATAATGAAAATGTAGTCCGAAATGATCCAAATGGAGAATTCATAAATTTAAGAGATGAGAATGATGATTTAGATGATGAGACAGAATTTCATGATGAACCAGAATCAGAATCAGATGATGAAAATGAGAATGAAGAGGCATACTGTGAAAGTGGCAGTGAATAGCTCTAATCTCTTCAAATATAAGAATTAGAGTGACTGAAACGTAGTATATAAGCTAATTTTATTTCAATTAGATTTTATATTTCTTGCTGACAAAGTTCTGAATTTTAAATGTCACTAATTTATATTTCTCTTTTACCAGTATAATTATTTTGTTTTAATTGTTCTCCAGGTTGTTTTGTTTGAGCAACTATCCCTCACTCTCATTTCGTAATATGAAGTAGACCATTCTAGATCTATGTTTTGAATAGTGATGGAATAGCTTTATTCCTTGAAGTGTTTATGTAAAACTATTGTCTAGGTTAACACATTTTTTTAACTTTTCAGAGGCATCTTGTTCTTGAAGTGATATATCTACTAATTACCTGTTCTTGTTATAATTTGACCAAACTGGCCATGATTCAATTATTATGTTATTATTTCATCCACATGTAACTTTGAAATTGCAGATATGACACCAAAGAGGGGTGGATGAAGCAGATATTCTGGAGAAAGAACATCAGATCCAGTGACATCTCCTCTAATGTCTAGTTTCACACCTGATCAAGCACCATCATTGCCTGAAGTGCCGACACCAGTTATTCCGAATTCAGTTGTTGTCAACATAACGGTACCATCTTCATCTGTGGGGATAGAAACACCTAGAAATGACATTGTATCTACAACTTCGTCAAATACAACTGATGATACCCGCACCCGAATTGAAATTGTCCTGGGATGGTAAGTGTACAACATCGTTTCATTTACATTGTTTTGCTTCAGGCAAGAAAATAAGCCATATTGATTTTCTTTCCATACTATTTTTCTATAAATCTTTCAAAGTTTTGTTGCTTTTCTTAAATTGCATTGATGGGAATGAATTACAGAATTGAGGTGTTTCTAAAAAATCATTCTTGAAGAAAGTAGCTTGTTAACTGATGTCTACATTTTCTCTTATATAAGAAGCAATAGTTGAATGTTGCTACAGAACATGGTAAGGAATCAAATTTTGTAGAATGAATTTCCAGAACTTTTGTTCTTGATCTACATTTTTTGAATTACAAAGTTGAATGTGCAGTTCCTAGAACTTTTTGCTCTTGATCTACATATTCAGATTGTGTGGCAAAATTATTGTTTACTTTGCTTTCACAAGTATGTTTCTTCTTTTCCCACCTGATCATATCTTACTAAGGGACTAAGAATTGGTAGGAATATGTCAAATTCTCTATAATTTTCTTAAGCTCACTGAATTCTATGTCTACATTTGAGGTTCTCATCTGATGAATTCAAGAGGCTATTTTCTTGTTATTTGCAGAATATGTTTATTTGAAAACTGAGAACATGAACTGCAGAGTACATGTTAATTATTTTGAGTGACATTTCAGTTTATGTTTTGCTTGTATTACTCGTTGGTACTTCTTGTATAAGGAAATAACACTTCTAAGTTTGAAAATGACATACTTGAGCCTATATTTCTAATCGATAATTGTCTTCTATTTTACTCCCACCCTGTTGTTGATTTTCATGTAGACATCAACAACATGGTGCATTTTTTAGAATCTGATTTGATATTAGTGTCTATGGTGTGACATTTCTTTAATCTCAACAGTCCTTATTTCCTCAAGTTTTTCTTATCTTTTGCAGTATATCATTAGAATTCATACTAGATTTTTTTTTACTTGTTCCAGATTAAGATTAGATATGAATCTACGTACTGAACCCAAGCTTAGTATGGGATCCTCACAGCTAGTCATTTCAAGATACGATAATAGTAGGATTTTATAATTTATGTCTAATCATGGTCTCTTTGATAATACTTTCATAAATTTCATATTATTCTTCCTTACTTCCTCTACCTCATCAGCTCTTATATGTCGATAAAGTCACTGATAATACATTCTAGCAACTTCTTGATGTACCTAAATAAAATTGAGTATTGAAATAATTACATGTTATATTTATACAAGTTTGGAGCCAAGTAACGATGTATCTCAGGCGATCACAAAAATTTTTAAGGAAAAATTGGATCCCGAAGGATATGATTGGAAGTCAGTTACACCAGAGATTAAGGATTTCTACTGGGAGGAGTTTAAGGTAAACTATACTATCTGTTTTTCTTAGTAACTATTGATTTATTACGAAATTAGAACTGTACAGATCAAACAAGAACAAAAAAAAAACATAGCTCATGAAATAGAACCACTACAACTAGCCAAAAGATAAACTTAGATTGTCTCATCTGCTACATTTAGAAAAAAAAATTATTTAGGGATCCAAGTTCATAGTTTCTAGTAATGAAGCAAAATTTCCTATTGTTATTACTGTTATGAAACACCTCTTGGATTGCTTGTCTAACTATAACTTCAGGTTGTCTTGGTGTGCCTTTGAAAATATGTTGATTCCTTTCCATCCAAATATGGTATACACTACCAGCCAAGACAACTCTCTATATATCTGCTTTGTGACTCTTTCCTTTCATTAAATTACTTGCCCAGTCTACTTCATCCTTCCGTCCCATAGGAGCTCTTGTTATGCCCTGCCACTATAACAACTTAGTACATACGTTGTGGGAGGAAGTACATTTATAAAGCAAGTGCTCTATAGTATCGTTTGTATCTCCGCACATTGGACAACTCATATAATCAACAATGCCCCATCCAAGAAACCTATCTCTGGTGTATAATTGTCCTAGTATAGCCAAGTACATAATGAATGTCCATTTAGGTGGACCACTGATACTGCAGTTAACCTCCTCCATGAGACTTTTTGATAATTTCCTCTAATCGTCACATATAATTTTCTAACAGAGCATTTGGCCTTACTTCTAAGTTTAGCCATGTTCATTCGAGCTTCTTCAATATACTTTCTCTCTTACCAGACTTGTTTTCAACACCCATTATACTTGTTTTGGTACATCTTTTGATACGTAATTGTGTCTCCTTCTACTATAATATTCATGTACTAATTATACCCATAAATTCCATTTTACTATCATTTTATTTATGTATTTTATTCATTTAAAATTTCTATTATATCAATTCATGTGATATTTTTCTTTCCCTTTTTAAACAGAAGCAATTACATTGGAATATGACAACTGAAGGTTCCATAAAGGATCATTTTATGAAAAAATGTTCAATACAATACAAGGGTATGTTATGTGAAGCAAGATCCTCTGAGGAGAAACGAAAAAATATCCCAAAATCTGTTTGGGAGAGCTGGAAGCCTTACTATGATACTGACAATTTTAAGGCTAAATCTGCACAATGTTCCAAAAATCGACCAAGTGAGAAATGTGGTGAAGGATCTGGTCCCTCGCGCCATACTGGAGGCTCCCGGACTCACCGAGAGCATGTAAGAAAACTGGTACAATTATTTTCATTTTGTCAAGTTACAGTTTTTTCAACGTTATTCCTCTAGCAATAACTTTGATGGATGTGATTTCAATTTTAGGCGGCTGTTCTAGGACGGCCACCTCATCCACACAAACTTTTGAAGAAGACACATACCAAAAGAAACGATGAGTTTGTGGATCTGAAGTATAAGAGCACATATGTAAGTAACACCAAACATTGTTGATTATCTTTCTTAATTTTTGTTGAGAATTTACTTAGTCGTCATTCATCATGTTTATCCCAAATATTAAACACATGGTTATAATATTTGAAGATTATAATGAGGGAGGTTAATGTCATATTAGTGCAGTTGATGTCTCTATATAATTTTTCCAGTGTGGAGGAAATCTTTAACAGCTAACAAAACATCATTGGGCATCACTGGCCCTGCTTTATCAGTGCAACTGAGACTATCTATAATCTCTTGGTCGGTGACTTCAGTACATAGAGTAGTTTGTTGTTTTAGAGTAACTATAGGTCCCATTCTCATAGTCGATATGTCTACTGTTTGTAGCGTAGGAGCTGCAGAACCCATAAGACTCTTCTAAAATGTAACATTTTCGGTTTGTATAACCTCAAGAGTTGTAAGCTTGGTTCTTGATAGAGTAGTTTGCTGTTCTAGAGTAAGTGTAGGTCCACTTCTCATAATCGATGTCTACTGTTGGTAGCGTAGGAGCTACAGAACCCATAAGACTATTTTGTTTGGTGATCCTCTATATCCTTCCTTTCAAAAGTTCTTAGCATGTTTAGTTGTATGATTTTGAACTATCATAGCTTTACTAACTAATATGAAATGCTATCTTTTCAGTTCTGGAAAAAAAAAAACTTAGTCCCTAAAAGACTATTTTTGTACACTGAATATGAACTACAGGTGCGTATGTCAAAATAAATGTTAATTGCAGCTGTAGAAATGATAAGTGTGGTGGTATTGTCAATGACAAAGATGGTCGACTGATATCATTTGTCTTGTATATTTATAATCGCTAGACATTTTTTCTTAACATAATATCATTTATTTATTTTTCAGGATGTTGTATTGTCTATAAGATAACATCTGCATCTCAGCTTGTAGATGAATCTGGCGAGTCTCCGACAGTAGATTTTTCAAAGATTTACATGGATGAAGTGGGTAGGGTTAAGAAGGCATGTATATATGGTCTTGGTTCTCAAGCTATTTTCTATGAGAACATTA